AAAAAAAAAAAAAAAAAAAAAAAAAAAAAACGTTAAATAAATTATTCTCTTTGTTTTCTAGATTGCTTCAAGTAAGAAGGATGCCCTTCGTTGATCACAAAAAGTACAAAATCCAGCGTGAGGATATGCCCGCTGTTCCTCACTTCAGCGACTTCAACGATCCGCGTTTCTGCGGGACCAATAATAAGCAAAAGAATGGTATTCTCGCCTATTATCAGTGGCTCCACTGCATCGGTAACTGGGGAGAAGAGCATTCAATGTGTAAGAAGATGCGGTGGTATGTGGAGCGACTTATGCATGAGTCCTGGCTTGAGAAGTGGGAAGAAAAACGTGCTCTAGGACACTTTGATCATGTTATTCTTTACGGTTTGAAGCCCTGGAAGGAGTTTGAGCCTTTGTACCAGCCTGTGAAAACGAACCGAAAGGGCGCCTATGAATTCTGGTTGGACCGTGACTTTGAGCCTCTCTATGATCCCGATGCTGTTGATTTTCGTGAGAAGGCCCCTATCCTTCACGATGTATTTGTGAAGGGTAAAAAGCCTGTCTATGACGAGTAATGAAGTAGTAGGAAGATTGCATTAGGTAGGGTACTGTGTTTCATATCAGTGGCGTTATGTAGGACGGGTTTTTTTTTTAATTAGTTTCGTATATCAGTAGGATGGGTGTGTCGTTGGGACGTTTTACCCTAGAATCAAAACCTTATGACTTGCATGTTTTCAAGTACACAAAGTGTTCTTCAAAAAAAAGAAAAAAAATATGCTCAAGAAGGAAATAAAGTGGAATGGGTGTGAAGTATGTTTTCTATTCGTTTGTTTTGTTTTCTTCTTTAGGATATTTACTAAGAAAAAGTTTAGGTTTCTATTACTATTACTATTATTATTATTATTATTATTATTATTATTATTATTATTATTATTATTGTTATTGTCTTTTTCTTGTTCTCATGTCGGACTCATCATACGGTCTCACGACGTTCAGTCCCTCGGGAAGACTTGTGCAGATTGAATATGCGACGACAGCTGCTGGTAAGGGCACAACTGCACTTGGGGTTAAGGCTATGGATGGTGTTGTCATTGCTGCAGAAAAAAAGACCACAACACCTCTTGCAGAATCTTCCACTGTACAAAAGGTGTTTGTGCTAGACGACCATGTCGGTTGCACATACAGTGGAATTGGTCCTGATTGCCGTGTGCTGGTTGATGCTGCCAGGAAGGCCTGTCAAAGGTACCGCTTGACTTATCATGAACCTATGCCGGTCAGTCAATTGGTACGCCGTATTGGTTCCATTTACCAGGAGTTTACGCAGTCTGGTGGGGTTAGACCCTTTGGTTGCTCACTTCTTGTTGCCGGAGTGGATGAGCGCGGCTATCATCTTTATCAGGTGGACCCCAGTGGAACGTTTTGGGCATGGAAAGCCACATCAATCGGTAAGGGAAGCTCTGATGCCAAAACATTTCTGGAGAAACGGTACACAAATGAAATGGAGATAGAGGATGCGGTACATACAGCTCTTCTGACCCTAAAGGAGGGGTTCGATGGAAAAATGACTGCAGAAAACACACAAGTAGGACGTGTGAGCGAGGGAAAGTTTGAGCTACTCACAACTGAGCAACTGAAGGATTACTTGGACCAGATTTAATTCACAAGAGAGAAATTTCATGTAAATCTTTCTGCGTCTATTATGTCTTCTGTTTTATGAGAATTTTTTTCTCTCAAATGAAAAAAAGAAAAAAAAAGAGCCAAATCAAATTCAAGAAAAAAAAAAGAGACTGCTCAGTTATGCTTTATTGAACGAATTATCTCTTGAGAAATAACTTTGTAGTGCAGGTGTAGAATCATGCTTTTCACTGTTTTTGTTTTTGTCTCACCGTTTTTTTTTTTCTCATTTTATTTTTATTTTTTATTTTTTTCCCCCTTTGAGTTTTTTTTTTTTGTTGTTATTGTTCTTTCGTTGCCCTAGCAAAAAAAAAAAAAAAATAGAATGATTCAAAGAACACCCGCATTGAGAGTGTTTTTAAATGATATGCAGATCTTAAAGAGAAAGTTGCGAGTACGCTGCGCTCTCGACTGCAGCCATAAGAACGTGCTTACGAAGGATGAATTTATCGTATTATGTACAACGAATCCTTACACACCCCCAGATGAGCGAATGACGCTCTCGGAAGCATCAGAATACCTGGAGAAACTTCATCGTGCACGAGAGGTTATTGTATTACGTGATTTTGTCTATACCAAACCTTCTGAGGTAGCGAATACTGTTTATGTGATGTTACGCCTTCCTACTCTTCGACTAGAAACTCCTTCATGTGTGAATAAACATGCTTCTAAGAGTAATGTTGATGCTACTTCTGTTCAAGATAAAGAAATGCGTCGCCGAAATTTTTGGGCTACTGTTTCTCTTCTTAGTGGAATTCAAATGAGTTTTCTGGCGTATTTAACTTTTATTGTCTATGATTGGGACGTAATGGAACCTGTTTGCTATTTTGTAACTACTTTTACTGCGTTATGTTTTTATGCTTATTCCCTTCTCTTTCGGCGAGAGTGCACTTTTCACACTGTAGAAAATCAATTATTTCCTTCTAATACACCATTGAAAGTTAATTATTCTCATAATGTGATGCAATCGTGGTCTAACAAAATGATAGTACATACTAAGGATAATCGTTTAAAGTTTTCTTCCACTGATGCTGCAACGGTGCTTCAGACTCTCAACGATAGTGATGTCTCTTCTTCCCAGGATAACAGAGGAAGCAAGAGTGAAGGAAATAACATCCACCAGAAGAAAAAATGATGATGTTGGATGTAAAGTGTAGAGTTATCGTCCATTTCCTCTCCTCCCCACTGTCAAGTATGGTTTTTTTTTTTTTTTTTGCTTTGCTAAATTTTCTTTTTAGAGGTCTTGATTTAGTAGTATTTACCTGCTTAAATTATCTCTTGCTTGTATATATATATATATATATATATATATATATATATATATGTTTTGTATATTACTTTCTTTTTCTTTTCTTTTTCTTTTTAAATTCCCTAAAAGCTCTTGTTGTGCTCTCATAGAACATGTGGACTGTGCACGAAGATGAATATAAAACTGCAGAGTTGAATATCGCAGGTCTTCTGCAAAAGGGTTTGAATGAAGATGAAGACAAGACGACGAAACCAATCGGCATTTACACTAAATGTTCACAGGTGTTTGCTACGCCTTCCGTGACTCCAACCGACAACACACCATTGAATAGTCACAAACATAATCCCAATACCTCGTGGACTCGCAACCACACTCCCATTAGTTCTCCTATTCCAAATGGTTTGTTTAGCCAACCACAAGCTGCATCACCTCCTCAATTGAGCGTCATGCGTGTAGATGCCCCTCCGTTTGAGCCTTCACCAAGTTGTGTCGCAGCGACCATCCCTTACGCTGCTCCATCACCATTGAGTAAACGGGGGATGACTCCTACACATATGCAACGCACCAACGCTCCTGAACATCGAAATTTGCACATGATACTATCAATGGAAGATGTAACGAGTAGAGAAAAAGAGAGAAATGGATCCCAATACGTGGATTGGAATAGCCACCCTGTAAATCCGTACCATCCGCATGTTGTGGGACGTACCTATGGCAGTTGCGTTACTGCTGAAAGCCTACGGGGTACTGTTTATGAAACAGCAAAGGATCAGCATGGATGCCGATTTCTTCAGCGTTTATTGGGAGAACCAGGTGGAGATGGAGAAATTGCTCGTGTTATTATGAACGAAATTGTTCCTCACGTTGCAGAGTTAATGACAGATCAGTATGCCAATTTTCTCGTCCAAAAACTTTTTGACATTATGCCTCATGATGTGCGATACAATGTTGCCCGTGTTGCTGCTCCACAGATTACTGTTATAGCACTCACTCCACACGGGACTTTCAGTGTACAAAAAATGGTTGAAACGATTGCCACACGTGAAGAAATGGAAATTCTTCGTGAGGCTCTGTCAAAGGATGTTGTTCGATTGGTAAAGGATGCCCATGGTAATCATGTTATTCAGAAGGTGCTACAACGATTTAATCACAATGATAAAGAGTTTATCTATGCTGCGGTAGCCGCGGATTGTGTAACCATTGCAAAAAATAAGCAAGGTTGTTGTGTTCTTCAGCGTTGTCTCGAGTATGCATCGAATTCACAGAGGACCGCCCTGGTGGAGCGTATTTTAAGCTGCTGCCTGCAGATTGCTGAAGATCCCTTTGGGAACTATGTTCTACAGTATGTACTGGAGTCAAAAGACAGTAAAGCAACGGATACTATTGCAATCGCGTTCCTTCCGCATTTAGTACAACTCTGTATGAATAAGTTTAGCTCCAACGTAATGGAGAAGGTGCTTCGTGGGGCATCACAGCCAGTGCAGGACATGTACGTAGAAACCATGTGCTCTCAAGAAGTTGTCTCTCGACTCATTCAGGACGATTTTGGTAATTACGTGCTTCAAACTGCACTCACCATTTGCTCACCTGCACAGGCGGAGACGCTTGTTTCCGTTGTCCGCCCCCTCATGCCCAGCATTAGGAATGCCCCGTACGCGAAGAAACTGGAGGGGAAGATTGAGGGAATCATCCAGCGGACCGCCAACGGCCGAAACACTGCCGTGGACTACGACAGCAGTCGACCACTCGATACACAGAGACCAAAGTATGAAGTTGTGCAGTCCAACCACGAGCGTTATCACAGCAGGGAGCCGCATACCGCACCCCACCAGCAGCTCTCCGGTTGAGTTATTTTGTTCTGGGATCTGTATCTCTCTGTGAGTTTGTGCCAGTCTGTGTTTTGTGTGTGTGTGTGTGTGTGTGTGAACACCCGCTTGTTTTATGTGCGTAAGAGGTGGTTGTACAGTGTAAGCAGAGAGAGGAAAAAAAAAATATATATATATATTGTTCAGTTGTACGAATGAATGAAATAAGAAAGAATGAAAAAAAAAAAAAAAATGAAAAAAAAAAAGAAAAAAAATGAGGAAAAAAAGGAAAAAAAAAAGATATTGAAACTCGCTCTTAGATATGAGAAAAAGACCGGAGTTGGAGATAAAGTATTGTATACTCGAAAAAAATAGGTGCAAAGGGGAAAAATGAAGCGATTTAAGAACATGGAGAGGAACAAAAAAAAAAGTAAAGAGGTATTTGAGGAGGGGAAAAAAAAGCAGGGGCTTTTGTATTTGCAATGGGGAGGGGGAAGGGAGAATCGTCTCAAAACGACTGATGAGATCGTTTTTTTTTTTTCCCTTCCTCTATGTGGACTTCACGCGAACTATGCACCGCTGGTTGTGGTTAAATGGAAATTTGTAGGAAAGAGAGCGCCACAAAATCAAAAAAAAAAAGAAAAACACGCAGTTTATTATTATTGTTATTATTAGTTCTGATGCCGTGGCACAAGCGTAAGACTAAATAAAAAAGAGAGTGATTTAGAGGGTCGTGATGATTACTCACTTAAATACCGTTCTGTACGATAAAGGAAGATAAAGATTGAGTGAATTCATCTTGGTTACGTGAACCACTTTGTTGTATTTGCGTATTCTGACGGATGAGAAGAAGACAATATTTTCTTTTTTATATTCCATCTTCATCTTTATTATTTTATTTCTCTTTTGTCTTCACTCACTCTCTTTCACTCTCTTTTTGTGTCTTTGTGTGGGACACGGCGTTAAACTACACCAGCGGTTGTCTCAGAATGTGGAAGACATTCATATTAACGGATGCCTTCATGAATAGTGCCACCTATCAACTTACTGTAGATTCCCCTTTCTGCTATGCAATTGATGAAGCTAGGTAAACGAGACTCTTCTGGATTCTTTTTTATTATTATTATTATTATTATTATTATTTTTATTAGCCATAATCCTTGGTGTGTTTACTCTAGTCGAGTTACATTGATGACGTCCTTTACATTGTGAAATATTTTCGTAGTATATATATATATATATATATAGACTAATTCGCAGTGAATGAGTTTCCACCACGTTTAGTAGTTAAGCGACCCCACCTGGCAGCTTCTTTACTACTTTTACCATCAATGGAAGTATTAAGAGCTGACCTAGAGGACGCACGTCCCCGTTGATTTTTTTACCTCATTATTTCATAAGCCACTCCCATTAATTCTCTCTTTATCTCTTTCTAATATATATAAAAATATATATATATTTTTTTTTTCTTTTTACTGGGTGGAATCAGATTGTTTGTGACTGTTGTAAGAGAAACCGTATTATAGTTTTCTTCATCTGGATTTCTTTCTCTCACCTTCATTCTAGATACAGGTTGTTTTTATAGCACAACTATATACAGAAGAAGAAGAAGTATACATATGGACTAATACACATCATCTCTTGTGATGGTTTGCTCTCTTCACCTCTGGGAAAAACTTTTCATTTATTCTTAAGGTGAGTGTTTCTATCCTAGCTCCTTTTTGGAAGAATAGTGGCGGATAATTGGCAACGATTCTGGAGATTATTTGATTACCTAAAACCTATGGAAGGAATATTCTTGGTTCCATTTAAGGCAGTATTTGCGTTATACATATTGATACTTGTTGTTAAACTACGTATTCTTTTTCAGATACAAGTAAGGGTTTTCGTATTTTTATTTGTAATGATATCGTCAGAGATTACCAAAGGTTAGATGCAACTTGTGGAATTAAGCCAAAAATGAGATATTGATTTTTAATGTTTTCTGTTGACTGCTTACCTGTTTTTTGTATCATAGGCCATTTTTCTTGAGAGTTTACTACATCCATGTGTTCTTTATGATTTTTTTTTTATACTCTTCTTCATTCTTGATAAAGTATGAAAAAAACGGAGAATGAAATGATGATGTGGACATCAAGTCGCGTTGAAAGAGTTTTAGATGGTATTGACAAGTTACACAAAAAAAATGATGCGGATCGTGTGTTACAGTTACAGAGAGAAAATGAAAAACTGAGGAACGAAATGTTGGAAATGCAAAAAAATCACAAGAGCGCTATAAACGATATTTCTATGAAGGGTAGTAAAATGGAGCAGTTAATGCGGCAGCTGTTAGATGAAAGATCTCGTTTGGTAGAAGAGTTGACACAGTTGCGAAGATATAAATACGAACAAGTAAAGCAAACTGATTCTAAAGCTGTAATGACTCTTTCCTTTCCAAGAAGAGATGCAATTGTTCAGGTAAATTTACAACAACAAAAGATACAAACATATGAACAGTCAACTCAAACACTTAATGATTCTGATTTTTTGATATCACCTACGTATTCGTATACTGACTTGAGAAAAGTTTCACAAATACCTTCTACTTTATCTGTTGATCTAACTCTAAAACCTTTTGTAGACAATCGAGTGGCTGCGGATTCTATATACTGTAAAAAAGGTTCAGAGCTTCTTGCTCTAGCTATGTACGCTTCTGGAGTGTCAATTGAAAATCTAAAGTTGCATGTATATGCAACTGATTGGGTGTTTGTGGGTATCAATATAGATGGATGGTGGAATTGGCAAAGTCAAACACAGGAAGAACTTAATAAAGTTACCCAAATTGTTCAAGGACTTGGATCTGATTCATCTCCCTTGTTATGGTTTGCGGCATTGGCTTCTGCACTTTTAAAATTAGACTCGTATCATACAATGACCCTGGGAGAACTTCTTGTCTCAGCTTGCGGATATGATGTGGGATCGGAGATGTCACTTACTCCAGCTTCTCTTACTCAAGTGATAGAACTCTTGGAATTTGGTTCAGGTTGCTTTCTTATTGTTTTGCAACGAGGGTCAGAGAATTATGATGGTATTGCATTAGTGTCAGCGATTTCTTATGTTAGGGATAAAGTGGTGTTTTATGTTGTAAGACCAGTTTCTGATGTGGAAGATAATACACATGATGATAGAAGGAACTCTACCTGCAAGTTGATTGGGGAATGGCAGACAAGTCAGCAGTTATTGGATCAATTTGTTCTATTTCAAAAAGTAGAATGCTTTTCAGTTAACAAACATTCTGAAATTCGTTGGATAGATAGTGTAAAAAATCACACTGTATCTGTGCAAGTAGTACTGCATAGTAACTTACCAAAGGTGGAGGGAGTAGTTCATGCAAGACTTCTGGATGTTATAAATTCTTGCTGGTATCCATTAAAAATTGTTTCAAGCAATGAAAAAACATTTACATTGTACTGCCCTTTACTGAAGTGCGTTGAAAATGCTGTTCTTGTTTTAAATATTGATCGAAGTGTTGTTCGTCGTCTGGACTTTGTGCGATTATCTGAGGATAATGATTTATTTGTAGAAAGAGAACACACCATGATTGTACAAGTTAATGGACAGGAAATTTACGCTAGTCATGTTGTACTTAACTTGGAATTGGAACAAGCAGCACTTCAGATGGAAGAGGGAAAAACGAAAAATAATAAAAAGAATAAAATAAAGAATGAAGAAGAAGAGGATGAAGATGATAATCATCAGTGCTTGCATAATCTCATAATGGACACAACTGTTCCTTCTGGACACGGTTCCAATTTGATCAGTGTAACGGATGATGGTTCTTGTATGAAGATATTTTTCTCTTTATTTCATTCTTTATTCATCTCCCGTATGGACCTTATTATGGACTGGATTGATATAGTGGGATGTGTTTTGGTTTCTTCATGCCCTTCACCGGCTCCTTTAAATAAAACACTCCAGCATCACTCTCTGTTTCCAGTATTGCAAACCAACATGGTACGGCAACATATCAATCTCTGTGCTTTGAATAGCAGAAATAATTTTATCAGTACATCACTTTCTAGCGCCGTTTCTGAGCTTGATGCAGTAAGGGCGAATCTCGCTTTGGCACTCCAAGAGAATGCCACTCTCCGTGAGGAACTCATACACTCTTTCTCTGAACTTGATCAACTGCGTCAAGATGTTGAATCCAAAGATACCGTAATAGAGGATGCGAAATCGTATTGCTGTGAATTGGAACAGAAACTCTGTAGTACTACCAGAGACTTCACAGATCTTCACTACGCCTTTGAACACATGCAAGAGGAACACCATTTGGAATTGCTGAAGAGGACACTTCTTCTTCGTGCAACAGAAGAGGAAATGAAAAGGTTAAAAGACCATACGAGTCATTCTTCTTCATCCTCGTCTCTACACCCAGGTGACGGGTTATCGTGGTAGGGGATAATATTGTTTTATTTATTATTATTATTATTATTATTATTATTATTTTTTTTTTTTTTTCGTTGTCGTATTTTAGTCTTCTTCTATCCACAACACTAGTTATAATGTCATCAGCCTTTACTATTCTCGTTCCCCCACTCTCTCTCTCTCTCTCTCTCTTTATTTTTCTCTTTCCACTTTTATCTATTCTCTTCTTTACTCATAATGGTAGAAGGCACTTTAAGTCTTATGCCTTCCTTTACTTCTTCAGATGAGAATGTTTTGGGAGCTATTGATTCCTACTTGCGATCAAATATAGAACAAGAACAAGAGTTGATGATTCGAGTAAAATTATGTGAGTCTAGTATACGAGATCTTCAGTCAACTGTTCAGCGTATGACGGCTAGTCATGGGGCTTTTACTTCTCTACAAAGAATAGATAGTCCCAAGGTTTCTAATAGTAGTAGTAGTAATAATAATGCTCTAGCGGCTGAAGAGAAAGATGATGAAAATGAGGCAGAAAAGATGTGTGATTACTGCTTCAAGTTCACTCGCTGCTTATCTTGTCCAGAGTGCCATCGTGAGTGGTATTGTAGTAGTCCTTGTCGTCGACTGCGAGATCACCTTCATCGTTCTATTTGTCGCCGTCGAAAAGGTAATTACATAATTCAGGGTTCTGCTTGATTTCTCTGATAGTGTAATAGAATAGGTGTGTGGATTCATGATGTCCTCAAGATAGATTGAATATAATACATACATTAACATATCTTGGATCCCTCTTTATTTTTATTTTTATTTTTTTTTGCTTCTGTACATATTATGCCTTTTTTTTTCTTTTTGAAATGTATTTTGTCATTGTTTTTTTTTTTTTTTTTTATGTTTGTTTTGTTTGTTTTTTCCCGTGGCGCGGAAAAATTCGCGTGCTGCTCCCATCTCCCTGCACAACAGTCATTATATGCATGTGTTCTTTTCTTTGATATTCTTTGTGTTCTTGTGTATTTGTGGTCTTCACTTCTCGCCAATAAGACTCTGCGCGCATGGAGGAGGCACGCCAATTGGCCTCCGCTCTCTCCTCTCACGACATTGTGGAGTCTCGCGATGCACGCCAGCAGTTGGCCCGCTTCATATCACCAGAGCGATTAGTTGAGATGTGGCAGCAGGGACAAGAGCAAATTGCTGCCGCGCTCCTTGAAGAGGCGGAGAGTGTCGGCAATGACGATGTGTACATGGCTCTTGGCGATGGGTTCAAGAGTCTCTTCGACCCCGCTGCTAACATGTCTATGGCAGAGCAATTTCTCGTACTGGACACCACACACATTGTCGCACGTTTTCTTGTGAATGGGATCGCTAGTGAGGATCTCACTAAAGCTGCATATGTGCGTCCGGCCTTGCTGGCTCTACTAACCGTTGTGCCACCTACTGTAGCTCCCGCCATTGGTGAACTTGTATCTGCTTCCCTAAAGACGGAGAGAGTTCTGCGACTATTTGATGAAAACAATCCTGAGTCAAGTGAAAATGAAAAACTTTGCAAATTTTTACTCACTCATACAGATTTGATTTCTTTTATTACTTCTTCAACAGCTAATGCATTCGATAATGATCCACTTCTTGTCGCAAATTATATGGCTATTAGTGCTATCATTGGTCGTCACGAGAAAATTCCGATTATTTTGCTTGATAAAATAGAAAAAACACTTGTGGAAAGTAAGGATGATTTTGTATTCTGTTTTGTCTGCCGTGCTTGTGCTGTGGCACTACGCCATCATGATAGTAATGCTTTGAACTTTGCAGTTTCATGGGTAACGGCAGCAGCTAATCGTTTGATGGATTGTAGTCATGATGCTTATGATGCCATTTATGATCTTCTTGGTGCTGCTAGTACTACATCTACTGGATGGAACAGCGTTCAGTCTCTTTTAAAAGAAGAGAGAATAAAACATGGATTAAATGTTGCTGCTCTTCGTGCGATAACTCTGAATTTCTTGGACGTATTGGTACAATCTCCCCATGTTGAGAATTCGTTCTTTAGCCTAACGCTCTTGCATGCGGTGTGGCAACTGCGCAATGATCCAAATGATACTGTTAGAGAAAAACTCTGGGAATTTTTAAATGATGGTATTGCTCGTGAGAATATTATAAATTCAATGGAGTCTCTTTGTGCCTCATTCCTCTGTTCCCCGCAGCAGGAAGCTAATGTGGCTATTCGTGAGTTGCAGCTACGTGTTGCTACTCGCTTAGTAAGTCATGCGAGACTTCCAGGAGAGGTCATGGAACGACTGCGGCAGTTTATTTCTAGGGGTTTGTATCCTCCTTCTTCTGTTGGTATGGAGGCAATGTCACGGCATTAGAATAAGGCCCTGTTCTGCGGTGTTTCTTTTTTTTTTTTTTCGTTTTGCTCAGAGAATAGTTAGAGAACGAGGGAGAAAGATTAAAAAAAAAAAAGGATCCGATCAATGCATCCAGTCATATGGGTATATATATATATGATATGTATATGCAGCAGTGGTGGAAATATGATTAAGAGGGATGTGAAGAATCTCTCTTATTATTCCTTTATTTTCATTCTACTGTTCCTTTCTTATTATTACTATTGTATTTTTTTTTTTTTTTTCATCTTTCCTTTCTTACTCTTTAGGGGTTAAGGTTCGGAGTGTGAGAGAGTAGTATTGTGTTTAGGTCTAAGAGGGAAGAAATAAATGTCTTTGCGGGAACGTGCTGTGGTGCTTGTTGACGGACCTGCCCTAGTACACCGTTGGTACCACCGCTGGACGTACACTAGTAAAAAGACCCCAATAGATGTAAAACGGTTTACCATCACAAATGCCCGGTACATCATTGCCACTGCTCACAGCTTTGATCCCAGTCATCTTGCGCAGCACTTACTCTCACCGCAGGTGGAGTATGCCCACACCCCAAAGCACAACAAAATTGTTATTTGCTTCGATCAAGGTGATGGTGGTCGACGTGAAATCTTTCCAAAGTACAAAGAAGGCCGTTTGCAGCGAGAACTAGGCCCAGAACTTTCAATAATAAAAAAAGTTGCAACAAAAGTATTCATGGGAGAACCAAAAAATACCCTTATCATTGTTCCAGACTTTGATCCCAAACTGAAGAATGTGAATGCAGAGGCAGATGACATGATTGCCACATTAGCGCTGCACAACCAGCAACTGAAGATACCCACTGTTGTGATGTCACATGACTACGACCTCTACCAGCTTATTGATGAGGCAAACAGGTCTTATCATTACGACATCCGCACGAAACATCTTGTTTCTGAAAAAGGCGTCATTGAACGTTTAGGTGTGCACCCAAAACTTGTACGTGATTACAAGTGTCTAGCAGGTGACGCTACTGATAATATTCCAGGTATAAAGGGTATCGGTAAGACGCGTGCACTACAACTCTTAAAGAAGTATGGTGATTTAGATGGAGTTCTTACCAAAGGTGTCAAGAAACAAAGTGACCGCGTTGGTGACTTGCTGCGCGCTGGTTGCGCTGATGCAGAACTTTCCCGACGATTGGTAGATCTTCGAGTTTGTCCTAAAGTACTACAGTCATGCGAATCGTTTCTGAAGCTATAGACATATTATACTGCTAGTACAAGAAGAACAACAACAACAAGAACAATTATTATTATTATTATTACTACTACTACTACTTCTGTTGTGTTACTATTGATGGTGGTAACTATAGAAGGGGTGGAGAAACTTGTGTTTAGTAACCCATAGACTCATTTATTTTTTGTTTTGTTTATGTTTTTTCTGCTTCTTCTCTTGTGTACTCTCTTCACCGTGATTGTGTTGAACTTCTGTATAAAATGCAGATGTGAAGAATGAAGGTGGTGGGAATTTTTTTTCCCTTTTATAAAATAAAATATAGAAATGATTGCGAGGATAGGAGGGTCTAAAATATAAAAAAAGAGGGAAAAGAGAAAGCACAAAAAAAAAAAAAGAAAAACAAAAGAAAAAAAAGAACATGAAAAAAAAAGAAAACTTGAAAGAAAAAGTTAATGGAAACATCAACATGAATCAAAACTCTCTCAACGAAAGAACGATACGCTTTTTTTTTCTTTCTTTCTTTCTTTCTTTCGAGACTAGAATATGGTGCTGAGTCAATTGTTTCCGTTAAGTTTTGGTGCTTTTCCCATCTCCTCTTTTTGACATGGACTCGCTCGCATCGCATGCCGGAAGTGAATCAGGAGAAAACAAGGGAAGAGTGAAGAAGAAATGAAAAACAAAGGATACATTATGTTTCCTTTTTGTTTCGTTTTTTTTTTTTTCCTCCACGTAATAAGTGTGTCAATGGATATCATTTTTTCGTGAGGGAAGATGGTGCTAGTGGTGGTGATTGAAAGTGTAATGAGTGTTTTTATTTTTTCTCATTGAGTACATATATATATATATATATATATATATATATATATATGTTTTTTTATTTTTATTTTTTCTTCTTTATTTTTTTTCCTCTTCCGTCCCTTCTACCTCCGAGAGGCGGGACCAACAAAGGAAGGAAAGGAAAGGAAAGGAAAGAAAGGAACGAAAGAAAAGGAAAACAAGGTGAAAAAGAAGAAGTAAAAAGAGGAGAAATTCAACGAACATACGCAACCTATATCAGGAAAAGAAAAAAAATAAATAAATAAATAAACCAATAGAAAAAGGTAGAAGGATGCCTCCAGTGCTTTCTCCTGCTGATCATATCAAGGCGAAGGAGTTCAGTGCATTTCTCAGGCATCTTGGTTTTTCTCAGTGCCTACAGCAGTTTGTGGAGCAGTGGCGAATGTTAGTAAAGCAGCAGGATGGGAGTAGATCGATGCGAGAAAAGAAAAGCCACAAGCCTGATCGCTCATCTGTTTCCTCCACACGATCGCGTAAGAGTTCTTCTTCAAGTCCTCCCCCACTGCAGGTGTTACATTCAAGAAATCGCGTGGTAACATCTGTTGGCATGGAAGACGACTTGTGGACCTTAACAGGCGAGGACTACATTGCACCAGATTTTACGAATGGCGCAGGAACACCGCTGGAAGTGTACAAGTCACTACAGAGTCGCGGAGAGGTGCATTTTGTCCCAACGACACCATACTTTAAGGCACCACCACCGTCCAATCTGCCGTTAGAATCGCTTAACCTTCGAGTGGTGTACGAAAGTGGGAAAACAGGTTTTGAAGAGGAAAAGGATTTGGCCATCGTTGCTGATACTATAGTAGCAGGTCGTTACCAGATGTTACAATATCTTGATTCTGCTGCTTTTTCTAGAGCAGTACGTTGTATGGATCTTAATGAAGATAGGGAAGTATGCCTTAAAGTAATTCGCAATTCAAAGGATTTTTTTGACCAAAGTATTGATGAAATTAAGTTACTTAAATTAATCAATTCTTCTGGTGATACAGAGGAGAATTGCGTTGTAAAGATGTACGATTTTTTTTACTATAAGGAACATATGTGTATCGTAACTGAGCTGCTTCGAGACAATTTGTATCAATTTAGCAAGTTTAATAGGGAAGAAGAAACAGAATTCTATTTTACATTACCCCGATTACAATCTATAGCCAAACAAATCCTTAAAGGATTACGTTTCCTGCATAGTCTTGGATTGATACACTGTGATCTTAAACCTGAAAATGTTCTTATTAAGTCATTTAGTCGATGTGAGGTAAAAATTATTGATTTTGGAAGTAGCTGTTATTTAACGGACAACCTCAGTTCATACGTTCAGTCTCGATGTTATCGTGCTCCTGAAGTAATTCTTGGTTGCAAATATGATGGACGTATTGATATTTGGTCATTGGGAGCTATTCTTGCTGAGTTAGCAACTGGATGTGTTTTATTTGAGAATAGTTCATTACCACAAATGTTAGCTTCAATTTGTAGTGTGTGTGGTGAAATACCTGTTTCTCTTCTTCATGAGGGACGAAATACACAACACTTTGTAACAAAATTTGGTGCTTTTTACGAACAAAGAGAAGGAAAGGAACTTGTATTCCATTTCCCCATACCAGATACACCACCAGAGACTCTTTTCGGTTACAATGATCCCTTATACTTGGATTTTATTACTGCTTGTCTTACATTAGATCACCGTCGTCGTCCCACTGCGGTAGAGTTGCTAGAACATCCTTTCCTTCAACACGACTATGGAAGTGCACACAGCACTCCTCCTCCTTTGAAGAAGAAAGTGCATAGTGAGGATGGTGCTTCAGCAGCGGCGTCTCCTCCTACTGAAATGGATCCCACATCACCCCTACCCCCATCTTAGACTTTTTTTCAGTTCTGTGTATTTCCTTTCCCCCTCTTGTTATATTTCCATTCCATTTTTTTTTTTTTTTTTCCTTTTCTCTTGGCTTGTTTTTTTTTTTCACTACTTTTTTTTTTTTGTTTTCCCTTTCTAGTCTTCCCCCGGCCCCCCACAAACCCACCCCATCTCTTTCTCTCTTCAACATTACCATTGTTGCTGCAAGTTACTTACTACTGTTATATTTGTCATTACAAATACTATTATCATCTATCACTGTGCTTATATTACAGCGAATGCATCGCTGTTTTTTTTGTTTTTTTTTTTTTTTTTTTTTTTCTTCTTATTGTGAGCAACGACAAATGTAGTTGAAAATAATGTTGAGGTGACAGTTATGCGTTCTAGCAAAACATGCAGCCTCTCTTTTTTTTTCATTGTTGATATGTCGTCTTTGCACTAGATTAATGTAATACCATGAAACATGATGGAGAAATAAAACACCGGGCGAAGAGCACGAGAAGAATAGAGAAAAAGGGGTTGGGTGTGGTGGTGGTGGTATCATTAAAAAAAAAAAAAAAAAAACTTTCTTCTCTCTCTCTCTCTCTTTTTTTGTGGTGGGAAGATTAGCAACAGAGAATTAAAAAAGGGAAGGGGGAAGCATAGTAACACGTACATACTGATTGTCTCTCGTTATCTCTCTTTCATTTCCACCCCATTTTTCTTTCTCTCTGTTGTTTTGTTATATATATAAATAAATATATATATATATATATATTTATATCTCTTCTCAACCCCCGTCGTGGCTAAAACCCTTTTTGTGTTGGTCATTTTGACTGGGCGTATCGTTACAGTGGTGCTATTATATAAAAAAAAAAGGTAGATGTGTGAAAAAAAAAAAAAACACAAACGAGGAAAAAAAAAAAAAACAGGTGTTTGCTGTACATGTGCGACGCGATTTTTCATCGGGGATCGCAATT